GACAGAATATATGTGGGGTGTCCTGTCCGAGGCAGGACTAATAGCTTCCATTTTGTAAAAATAAATTTCTTTGTGGTGGTAATATTGATGAAGGATGATATGACTTACACAATAGCAAATACGAATACAACACGAAAAAAAAAAATTATAAAAATAAATGACATGGCAAATATGGCACAAAAGGCATGAAATAAAAATTTACTTATGTTTAAATATAGTATCATACTTTATAAAACACGAATATAACACAATATTACTATTTACCTCCCTTAATTTCTATTTGCGTTACAATTATTATACCGGCGCCCATCTCCTCTATATATAATTTCAGAATGCGCTGATCCTATGTGGCAAACTCTCATGCTTCGGAATTCTATTTGGCAAAAAATCATGCTTTGGAGTTAGACTTGGATATAAATTAATATTTTTATTAATTGTATTTTAATATTGTTTCCTATTATAACTATTGAATTGAAAATATATTTTAAAACTTGATAACTTTTGTATTTCTTATCGTTTTTACATATATAATATATCAAATTAATCATCTTTTGATGAGCTTTGATTTGACATCCATATTGTATATATAAAATAAATAAATTATATTTATCTTTATAAAATTATTATAATATAACACATATAAGTCGCACAAGTAACATGTGTCATACTAAAATATATAATAATATATACTCCCTCATATTTTTATTATTTGTCACTTTGACTTAATTGATCAGTGATAAAATAAATGTAGTTTTAGATATTTTGTTCATATTTTTCCATTTTTAACCCTCCATGTAATACACAGTGTCTCTCCATATCTCATCTCCATCATTTCCCATAACATCCATTAGATAGGGTTAATATTGTCAAGAAAATAAATATTAATTAGTGTATTGCATTTGAATTGATATTATGAAGTCCCTAAAATACAAAACAGTAATATATATCCTTATAAATAAAATTTAAATTTATTTATCAAACTAAATTAAATTATGTCAAATAAAACTATAAATTATACTATAAAGTAATAGAAATTGGTATGTATTCTTTTAAAAATGATATTTATTTCAAATCTAATTGGTATGTTGTCAATTTAGGCATCTAATTAAGTAAAAAAAATTAATCTATTTTGCTTAATATTAAATAAACATACTCTACACTTACGCATATACATATCACCATATTATTTCTATTTATTTAAGATATATTTTTTTGTACTTATGTAATAGTAAATAATATCGATATTTTTATACGATATAAGTAAAAAAATTCAACACGGGTTTTTTTTAATGTACGGGTGTTTAATTATTATGATTAAAAAAATATAATTTGACAATTTAATTAAAACCCAAAGTAATGTTTTATGTAAAATTAAATTATTTTAGTATTTAAAAAAATAAAAAATATAATATTTTTTACAAAAGCTTTCTAATTCAATACCCGTGTAATACACGGGTATTGTACTAGTATAAAATTAATTAAAAACTTATACACAAGTTTCAAAAATTATTACCTTAAGCAGTTGACATTTCAGATTAAATACTTATCTTGCAGGTCCTGAACTAAAGGACTAAACATATAGAAACTAAACTATTTAATTAGCAATTTTAATTTCTTCTCGGGGTCTTAAACGATAGTATTAATCTATTAAACCACATCTCTTTCGTGAGCCAATTTCATATAAAATTGATTGTTTCAAAAACTACTTATTAAAAAGTTGATTGTTTCAACTGGCAAAGAGAGAGGTACAGGTGGATCTAATCTGTCAAACCTGTGGAGAGGATCAAGAAAATGTAGAACATTTGTTCTATAAATGTAAATCTGTCAAACTTTGCTGGAAGTTAATTGGTATTGAATGGGAAGAGAATCAGAAAACTATACAAGATTGGTGGGAGGATATTTGTGCTAGTGCTCAGTTCAGGAAAATGAAGGATAGGGTTCTGCTCTCTATATGCTTATTATGGAGGATATGGAAAGCCAGGAACAACAAGCTTTTCAGAGCCAAAAATTTCACAGAAAGCATGATAGTGGCAAGAGCAAGGAAGGACTGGTTGGAACTCACTCACTCTCTCACTGAAGATCAAAAGCAGCTGGTAGGGGAAACATACACTGAGTACAAAAGGAGACATTTTTCCAAGAAGGTAGGACTTGTACAAATACAAGTCAGTGCCTTATGTCATCCAGGAGGAAAGGTGGTATGGAATTGCAGTGCAAGCTGTAGAATATCACTTGTGAGTTGTCCCACATCGTTCATATATAGAAAATAGACCCACCTTATAAGACTAATGGGCTACTCCTCCTTCCACCAATTGGTTTTGGGATGGAACCCCATTTGGGCTTCATATGGGTTTTTCCCTTCTTTCATGGTGTCCTTCATGGTAGTGGGCCAGCACCAATTTTCCCCCAGTTTCTGTCATGGTATCAGAGCCGGTTCTATCTTGGACCGTGTGATGACGTACCCATTGTTTATCCCCCACGTACCCGTTTATGGGAGCCGGTTTGTAGTAGGGCTTGGGGCACCCAGCCTAGTTAGGCTTGGGCTTTCGAAGGACTCATAAGTGAGGGGGCGTGTTAGAATATCACTTGTGAGTTGTCCCACATCGTTCATATATGGAAAATAGACCCACCTTATAATACTAATGGGCTACTCCTTCTTCCACCAATTGATTTTGGGATGGAACCCCAATTGGGCTTCATATGGGTTTTTCCCTTCTTTCATGGTAGTGGGCCAGCACCAATTTTCCCCCAGTTTCTGTCACAAGCTTTGATGGAGTTGTACTGAATAACTGGTAGGATGAGGAAAATGGAGTTGAAGACATTCATGTGGCCGTGTTGCTGGCAGTCAGAGGTGCTTTAGATGGAGCATTAAAGAGGAACTGGAGAAAAATCGAATGCAGCATCCCAGATGAAGATATTCTACTACAACTCCAATCAAACTGAGACTCACCATCTGCTATGTCTGGTGTTTTTAGTGATATAATGCAACTTTATCAGAGTTTTGAATCGTGTAACTTTATTTATAAAGACTAATTGTTTAGGTGATTTATGCCCAGTGGGGTTGATTATGGCTTATCAGGTGGATAAGTCTGTTTTTTAGCTTGTCTAGTTTACTAGGTAAGTTAGATTATATTCAGTTGATGTCCGGTTTGAACACTATCTTTGAGTTTTATATATATTGATCTTTGTTGAAAAAAAAAAAAAGAAAAAAAACTTATTAGATCCTTCAAAGGATACCTATAGTTATAGTTATGTTCACTCGTTTTCGCTATGTGTCCACAATTCTTCCAGTGATAATAATAATATGGAAGGTACAAGAACTCCTTGGCAGTTGGCAGTAGACAAGACAATAAATGCGAAATGTAGGTGTCAAAAGTATGCGTATAATACATACACAATTACGATGCCCAGTAAATTCGGGCACCATTGTCAGTATCGTAACATCAAATTTCTCAATTTGGATCATCAAATCATTACCAAAACCTTGGCACACTCTTAACTTCCCTTTTTTTCTAGTGGTGAAGAATTCTTAAGACCCAAAAAAAAAAATATGAGCCTGAAACCTGGTTTTAGCTTTACAAAAAAATGCGGATAGCAGCCAGACCAACAGCAGAAATGGAGACAAGTGTACCAATGCAGTATTTGATGACTTCGTATTTAGCTGCTTCTAATTGTGCCCGCAATTCGTGAATTTCCTGAGATCACAAAACGAAAACACCGTCAGAAAATAAACAATTCAATCCGTTATCGAGTTTTGGTGGATATATGTAGTCACCCGGTTGAGTTTGTTAGTGAGATTTGTGGTCTCCTGATTTTGCTCGTTCAATTCATCCCGAATTCTCCTGATACGTAGCAACCAGTAATTTAACAATAAAACTAATAATAGACATATTGTAGGAAAACTCTTGATAGTAGCAAAACCACTGACCCCTTTTCAAGATTAAGATCCAACCGCTGTCCAGCCGTGGCACGGTCAATTTCATACCTGAACCAGAATCGTTTATCTATCAATAAGAATTCAAATAAACATGGTATCAAGCCATGATGTATGTAATTGCGAACCTCAACTCACTGCGCATCTTCTCTAAATCGTTTTTGAGTTTTTCCGTCTCGTGTTGTAGCAAAGAAAAATGGTGATCCTGCATTTTTTGAGATCACATTAACTAGGCATGGTTCTTGTGGAACACGAGTTGCTCCAGAATTTGAGTCTTCATATACAAAATGTAACTTGTTATAGCATATACAGTGAAACCTCTAATAGAAAACTAAGAGAGTTAATTGCTATTTATTACAATATATTCAATTTTCTCATCCTTTTGCTCTGGTGGATGTAATTATTGATCTGTAGCCAACTTAACCAAAATCTAAAAAGAAGTTAAAAAATCCCTTTTGTTAAAAGTATACCCACAAATGACACCATCCATTGTGCACAAAAACCCTGAAACTACAGATAAAAGTAAATGCAATGGAGGAAGTGAGTGATAGTATTTGAAATATAAAATTGATTAATTAATGAGATATTAAACAATGTATAAACTAACATACAGATTTCAAGCCTAGTTCCAATTAGTGGGTGTATCCTATGGAAGCTGCGAGGGACCATTCAAAGAGGAAGATACTTATAAAATTGCAAAATCTTGGTTGGAAATAACAAGAGACAAAAAAATTGGAGTGTGCAGATAGATCCATACAAAAGGCAGAAAACAAAAATAAAATAAAATAAATGAGCAATATAGATAGCAGTGCAGATAGATTCGTCATTCAAGTACAAACCTTTAACAATAATAAGTCAGGGAAACAAATGCAAGACCAAACTTACATCCTAATTATGTGTTTTTTTTTCTTTTTCTAGAATACTACTACTATTACTAATAATAGTAAGATAAAAAATAAAAAAATAAAAGAAAAAATAAAACCTTCCAAACAGACAATATCTAGTCAAATTTCAAAACATTGACACAATACATCGAAAAGGTGCACTTAATCATTATGGTACCTCTATCATTTCCTTCACACCTTTTCTATGAATAAGATACTCAACTCTTAATTGCAAACTTTTCATGAGTGAGGATGGGAGGATTTGGGTACAAAAGTCTGCATTCCAATTTCTTTTCATGAGTGAAGATGGGGGGGATTAGGGTATAAGAGTCAGCATTCCAACTTCTTTTCATGAATGAGGAATTGAAGATGGGAGGATTAGGGTACAAAAGTGAGCATTCCAACTTTACCTTTTTCCTATACTTCAAGGCACCTTCTATATAAATCCTATTAGGCACTGTAGTCATCGATCATGCAATGACATACTTCATTTCCAAACGACTCATAAGGGAATCTTTAATTGGAAACCTCTGAAACTACAAATAAAGGGCCTTCAATATAAATCGAGAAGAGAAAACTAATCTAAGTATCTTTAGCACAGTGAACCACGAGTGGGGAAGCTTTTGTTGGTATTGTGGGTAATAGGCGGCTTCTATCATGTCGTTCTAGTGTTGTTGAGCTTGGATCTATCATTCAAGCATTTCAATTGCCTTATTGATTGACTTGTTCTCAAACTAAAGGAGCTCTTCACATTGGCCAGTTTTCCAGGAGACCTGAACAGGAAAGGAGTTGAGCACTAGCCTGGGTGGTTCGACTGCTGGTGTGTGTGGTCTATATATCTTTAATCTTCGCCCTCACAGTTCAGCTTTATAATTTAGGTAAACAATTTACTCGGTGCTTGACTTGACACGCTATGCAGCTAGAAATACAGATATTCCAATGGTTCGATGTTCGAAAATCATACAAACAGATCTGGAGAGTTAAATAGACATATAATCTTTATGTATATTTTCACTATTCGTTCTAATGGTTCAGCTTTATATATTCAGTAAACAATCTACTTAGTGCTTGACTTAACATGCTAAGCAGCTAGAAATAAAATTCCAATGGTTCAAAAATCACACGAACCGATCTGATGAGTTAATAGACATACAATTTTTAGGTATATTTTTACTCTTCGTCCTAACAATTCAGCTTTATATTTTAGTTAAACAATCTCTTTAGTGCTTCACTTAATGCTATGCAGCTAGAAATTCAGATATTTTAATGGTTCAAAAAGCACACAAAAAACAGGGAAATATATTCAGAATTTCATCTCCAAACATACTTCAGCTTCCTCAAATTGAAATGTGTAGTTGTTGGGGTATTTTAAGACAACTTACTGATAATATTTTCAAAAAGTAACCCTGATTTTTTCGGAATCGATGTCAGGTAAGACCGCTTGTGAACTGAGGCATGATAACATAAAATCAGCCTATTAGCTCAATTGTTCAGACTACTCAAACACAGCCTTTGCTACATATTCTTTCAAAAACATTCTTATAAATAATTTCATGATATGTTATGGAAATACCTATTGATACAGTAACAAATTTCAATTGAATTATTGCAGCAACCCCAGAGGATAAGGGCATCACAAAAGGAAATACCAGAGATGTACATTCGCACACCAAAACTTACATAGCTTTAGATCCTAATGTCTAAGCAGAATAACACATCCCAAAACTACAACCATCCTTCAATCAACAATGTGACTTTAACAATAAGCTCAAATTATATTCCTTCCATATTGAGGTAACGGGACTTTTCTTCATATTTCATTAACCTTTATGGACAACTCCTTTCAACAACTCATATTTCATTAACCTTTATGGACAACTCCTTTCAACAAAGGCAATTAGCTAATCTTAAGAACTTCGAGCTCCAGCTCCCTCTGGAAAATAACCTAACAGTCTAATGGCAGACATCCAAGTATGATTTAAAACTACCAAACAAATGTAACAGGCTTAAAAACAAACTGAAAAGCATGTTGTTGGATTAAGCAAATTGGGTCTTTGCCTACCTGAGAACTTTTAACTTCGGTCTTGAATTTGGACAGATTGGAGTCCTGTGTCATTTCATTCTACAAAGACAACATAAACAAATAGAGAGAAAACCATTATATTCGATTTCCACAAGGCATTTTACAATGCACCCAACCAACTTAATCAAAATACGGAAAGAAGCAACGAAGAAGGAGAATATATTACTTTCTGCATTTCAGTTTTGGAAACAAATGAATGCGAAACATTTTCTAAGCTGTCATTAAGGACTTCAATCAAAGCCCCCGTTATCCCCTCTGCCTGCTTCGACGGCACACCCTGCGCCTCTAACCTCCTCACCTGTAAATAGTTAGCAGAAATGAATGCCCCAAATTGAGCCACCATTTATACGTTCATTTCTTCCAAATGATGAAATTTAAATCAATCCTTTTATCGGACAAGAAAGAAGAGAAAACTCAAGCAGCAAAACCCTTACGAGGGCCAGAGTGTCCACTAGGAAGAGACGCTTGCCGTTGGATTGAACGATATCGGAGTACGGTCTGGACCCAACCCGATTCAGAGCGAGAAAACGGGCCCCGGATAAGAAGGTTCGACGGCAACTCGCCGCATAAGCAGCGGCCATGTAGACAGTATTACCAGCCGATTATTTCCAATAAAAATTCCGTCTATGCAGAGGAAAAACAAAGTAAGGTATTTTTCTGTGGATTGTGAAAGAGTAGCATAAAGGATGGAGGTTTGAGATATGGAGAAGGAATCAATTATGCAACAGCGGCAGTACTAATGAAGAAAGGGTCTAAAGACTTGGGCTCTACGGCTTCTTAAGGACATGTCACGCGGGCTTTGGCAGCAAATTCACAAATACTAGTACGTTATCCGCGCGTTGCGCAGCCTGGTGTTAAAAATAACTTGAGTGAGTTATAATTTAAATAAATAAAAAAATATTCATAAAACATGTATAGTGATAATAAAATATAGAATGAAATTTTTATTTATTACATTTTAAAATGTTTCTTTAAATATAATATAGTAGCAAATAAACTGTGTTCATAATACTATTATGATGATAAATATCATCATCACAAAATAGAGATTCGTGACTAAAAAAACAACATATTACCGACTGACTACAAAATACCATATTTTTTTCATAGAAAATTAAAAGTTAAATACATTAAACTTAAGGAAAAAAAACATTGTGATATTCAACGGAAAAAAGTATTTGTCATATTAGTGGTGACACTCCTTAAAACTTTTTTCTCAAAATTGTCTATATAATAGAATAATTTTCATTATTTATGAATATATAAAGACATTATTACTATTATATAGAGAAATTGGTATACGAATAATAAAAATTAACATGTGCAGATATGAGTCAATTAAAATAAAAAATAATTAAATACTTAAAAAAATACAAAAATCACTCAAATTTGGTCTGCAAGCATTTAGTTTAAATACTAAAATGACTCAATTTTGTTCCACATGCATTTGTTTTAAAAAGTCCACATATTTTTCACTTTATTTTATTGGCAAAGTAACTTCAAAAATTCATTCTTTGCAAAATAAGTGCAATGGTGATCATAATGACGTGCATCATGGATCATTTTTTGTAAAGTAACAAACAGGCCCAATAAATGTTAATGTTCATGTCAATGACAAATTACTTATTTTTGAATAAAATTAATGAAAAATATAATGAATGCATTTTTTAGGGATATACATTTATAGAATTTTTATAGGATAATAAGAAAAAGACATTTGAATTATATTATATAAATTTTAAAATAATAAAATTATTTTGATAATATTAACATTTGTAATATATGATATGAAAAAATAGTTGATGCATTATAGTATTGAACTTTATCTACTGCAACAATTCAGTAGCGATAATACATTTTTGTCATTTTCTTAATAAATGTGTTATAATAACAACAAAATTAATAATAATTAACACATTATACTATTTTTATTCATAAAAATTTTTAATTGCATAATTGTGGATCAATAAAGAAATTGAAATAAGTGCAGCCATTTCACTGACCAATTTTAGATGACGTCAAATTTATTCCTAAATAAAACAAATGATATCAACTAAAATAAAAGAAAATAAATTAAACAAACTGTATATTTTTTACTCAAAACTATTCAATCAATTAGGACTAAAACTAATATGAAAGATCTCGTATATAATAAAAATTTCACAGAATAATTCGATAAATATATATTTCTTATTTACACATCCAAAACCATGTTATACTCTTTATCTATGATGGTCGAAATCGCTGAATCTTTTTGTTATTATTTTCTTTTTTTCCTTTCGCAATATCATTTCATAATATGAATCTATTTCTTACCCATAAATAAAATCAAATTCTGATATCATATTCTAGCACTAAATCATTGAATTTTTGTTGTGTATAAAACCTATAATAATAAATGTCCATCTGAAAGTAAAAAATAAAAGTTTATGCCTATACATATTATATTCCCTTTTATTATACACTTTTAAGTTAATAGTTTAAGTTATATTAAGCTAACAATCACGATGGTAATCGTCAAGGCGTCGATGTTTAAGTCAACAATCAACACTTATTTGAAATATATGATAATTATAATTTAACCATTTTTTTTATAAATGCACATTGATAGAATTTTTATAAAACAATAAAAATTAAATATTTAATTATAATATATATACATCTAAAATAATTAAAAATAAAATTAACACTTGCATATGTGATAACGACAAATTAATTGTTGCATTTATAGTATGTTGTGTGGGTCTTTATTTGTAGTAATGTTTTGATAAACACGATGCATTCTCATTATTGAGAAAATAATATTGATAATGTTATGATAAAGGCAATATGATCTCATCATTATTAATAAATTAACAATAAATTAACTTGTTATGCTTTTTTTTTTCAGAAATTATAGTTATATAATTATGGCTAATAAGAAAATCAAAATAATGGCAAAACAATTATGTGCATATGTTTATATGGTTTCTTCAATATTTTGTAAAAAATATAACAAATTATACCAACTAAGAATAAACGAAATTAAACAAACTATATATTTTTCAGTCAAACAACACATTCAATCATACCAAAATCAATATAAAAAAACATAATANTCCATGTAAAGATTATTCACCACTTTCGAGATATATATGCAGATTCATCCCCAAAACCCGTAGATGTTTTTTTTTGTTTAAACAAGGTACACTCGTTTTAGTTGAATATAACTATTTTTTTTATCTCTATCTACTCGTACTTTTTTTAAAATCTATTTGAAAAAAAAAAATATGAAATTTGGTTATCTAAATTTGCATTTTTGTTGATAAAGGATGACATCATGACTTGTTCAACCCTTAGTTTAACTCACATGAAATTTTGTGAGCAATTAGGTTTTGTATAATTTCGATTAAAGTGTGTGTGTCTATATATATAAACATATTAGTTTATATAAACAACTAAAACCTTAATTTTTTTTTCAATAAATTTCTAATAACAATATATTTTTGTAATATAATTTCAATGTTGAAATTATTAAGTTATCATGTTTGTATTTTATAATTAGTATTCTCCTTAGATATAAATAAAACAATATAAAGGCTAGAATTATTAATCAAACTAATGAATTTTTGGATCAAATTGAGATGTTTGAGAAATATCACCAATAATAAGTATAGTTATTTTCATCAAGTTGTAAACAATCGATACTTTTTCATATTACAATGTATGATCACCTTAAGTATAGATTATCTTTATAAATACAAATATTTATTGTTGGATACAACACCACATTAAATGTTTGTATTAGATCGAACAACAGACATCCAATAAAGAATAAACCCATTTGATTTTTTTTTATTTTCTTTTCAAACAATATAATTCCTTTTTTCATATAATGTTTAAGCTCCAATTTTGTTTTCTCATGCTACTTATTATTATTATTATTATTATTATTATTATTATTATTTGCATTTTTATGGATGAAAAGATCCATGTATAGATTATCTATATATTTGTGATTTATACTATTTTGTTATTAATTATACAAATGTTGTAAATTTGGCTTCTCAAATAATAGAAGCATCGTATATAAAATGTTTTGAAATAATTGTCGAAATGAAAAATATATTACATTTATATTTTGAGAATTAATGAGTTATAGTCATATTTTGGGAATTAATGGCACTGAATCATATGTAGTTTGAATTCGAAAAGATTGACTTCACTTGGGGCATCTTTAACAATGTTTTTCCATAAACCTTCATAAACCTCATTTTTACACTTCCCAATATGCCACATCATCCAAAACCCCATCCTTACTACTACACCCATAAACCTCCAATAATAATAAAATTCATAAACCTCATTTTCTATGGGTCCCACATGTTTCCCACTTACTTTTTATTATTATTATACTATTATATTTTATTGATATCTTAAAATTATAACTTCTACTATTTATTCTTATTAAATGTATATATTTCATATATTTATCATAAATACATCTAAAAAATAATATAATTATATATAATTATATTGCATTATATATAATTATATTGTGTTAAGTACGTACGAATGTATAGATTTACTTATAAAAATTACGAAACAACCTCGTTCTTCTTCGTAAACACCTCGATTTCAATTGTTCTTTTTTTTACAACAATTGCAACTCGTTTTTATTTCATTTAATTGCTTTTATTTTATTTTTTTGATTGTCAAGTATGAAAAAAAAAATAATTGGGAGAAAATTTTATATCTATTGCATTTAAACTAGTTTTTTGTCACATAATTAAAATTTATTAAAAAAATAAAAAACCATATCAAAATACAATGCCTAGAATAAATAAAATTGAAAAAGAAAAAATATAGATATATAACACAAAGCATCACGCCTTGCTTCGAATAAAAAAATAAAGAAAAATTAAAAAATAAGAAAATGGGCCCACAAATGAGGTTTACTTGAGGTTTTGATTTGTAAACCTGTAGTGGAAAGCTAAACCTTAAACCTCACACATTTAATAACAAAAGCTGAGGAGTAGGTTTACAAACCTGAGGCAAACCCCCTTGTTAAAGATGCTCTTAGCATTTTTTCAAGGAAATGTGTTCAATTTTAATCATTAATTTCAGAGATCATTTTTAAATGTGAGTGGCTTGTTTCAGTATTAATACCACACATATATTAATGATAGTTTAGGCGGGAAAAATTTTTCTTTCAGCTGCTTTGCTTTAATATATATATAGATTCTTTCAGCTGCTTTGCTTCATCTCGGTCATCGGCTCTCGGCGTCCTCGGGCCTCGAAGAGCATCAATGCATTAAGTCTAGTTTTTTCCATTTGGCATGTAAATAAAGTTTTAAAATATATGGATAAAAGTTACAACTATATAAACTTAACAAAATTCACTTCAATTCAAAGAAACTAGGTCTCTACTTAAGTCTAAAATAGAATTAAGGGAATACCGAGTCTCTTTTTTTTACTGCCACAACAGCAGGATCCCGTCTACTTTTATTTGCACTGAAGAATACAATTTATTAGATTGGGTCTATTTCTTAGGTGACATATATTTTTTTGGGATTGGATGCTTTTAATCAAATTATACCGGGTTTGTATTCCGTGCAAAAATAATAAATTACATGAATTATAGCGTTGAATTTTAACATTTTTTTTTTGTATTTTTATAATATACCATAATTTAATATATAATTTATACATTTATTTCACTCATTATAAAATAACTAGTATTCGACATTGTGCATTTGCACAGATGTAAATAGAATTGAATATTATAAGTTATATTTATGTATTTAATATTAAAATTATAAATTATATAATAGTATTATATTTCAAACATATAGTATTATAAGTTATATTTATGTGTATAATATTAAAATTATAAATTATATAATAGTATTATATTTTAAAATTTGATCATTGGTTAAAATAAATAGTACACACGATTTGATTGTATACGATTCACTATATTGATTGCATAAAATGTAATAAATATATACTTTTTATAATTTTGAGTGATCATGACCAATTAATTAGCTGAAAATAATTACATTTATTATAACAATTGCTTATGTGATTTAAGAAATTTTACTATGACATAAAAAAATTAATTAATAAACAACATCTTCATCATATAAAAAAATATTGATTTTAGTGTAAAATATAATTTTATGTAACTTTCATATATTATTTAGTATAAAATATAATTACTAATTTTAATATTAAGTATTATATTATTCAATAAAAAATATAATTATTAATCAATTAACATAAAATATAATGGTTTTTGTCTTAATTAACCCAAAAAAATGTAATGAAATATTTTTCTTATTAATGAGATTGGGTGTATTAATGCCACATAAATAAAATTTATTAGGTTCTATTTATTAGGTTTTATTAATGATTTGCCACATAGGTAAAATTTATTAGGTTTTATTTATTAGGTAAAATTTATTGCTTAACTAGCAATTATATAGATTATCATTATCATTTTATTTTAGTATTTGCAATAACCGTGCGGCGAGCTAATAATATTAAGGAAATCATTTTGATTTGGACGATTAGAGCATTGTTCGAAACATAAAACAAATTTATTGAAATAAAAAATTATTATTTATATATTATTAAACACCTTTTTATACGTAACATTCTTTGTTGGAGTTCTGGTACATCGTCATGTCCACAAATTAAAACATTCAAACTCTTACGATCTCGTCCATAAATTAAAATATTTAAACTCTTACGATTTCGTGACGCGTGAAACAACTACATAAATTGGTCGTGACAGAATACTGATTAATTCAAGAACATAGCAACATGCGGTATCCTTTCTTTTTTGTTTGCGTTTTATATGTCTTTTTTTCAGTTGATATGGTATATCTTAATTTTACCAAACACTTTTATAATATAAGCTAGTTTTTCAGCTATAAGCAATAAACAAAAAAATTACAAATAAGCTATAAGCTAGCTTATCAGCTAGTTTTACCATATACCACTAAAATTCTGCCAATACGATTCTCTCGTAAACCAAAACCACATTTTTGGTTGAACTCGAATAAACCATAAAAGACTAATTCTTTGTTTTTTTTTTTACATTTGACAAAATTTGTTTTATTGGTTCAACATGTCGAATTGAAGTAGGAATTAAATCATATTTGTTTATACTCACTAACATATGAGGTTTTAGAATATTAAAATTATTATTATATATTATTAAATCATATTTTTTGTACTTACTAACATATGATTTTTTAGAATATTAAAATTATTATTATATATTATTCTATAATATGAATATGAATATGAATATACTAGAATGATACCAAAAATTACTTTCATCACCACCATCTATATCCTAACAAAAAAAATATATATAAAAGAAATATAATAAGTCTTTATTCTAATAAATAAATAGTTAAAGTAATTTTTGTGTACTTTGTTGGAAATGTTGAACTCAAATTTTTGACCTAAGTTTTTGTTGAAGGATATTGCGAACTCAAATTTTTGCCATTAAGTTTTTGCTTTGCATATTGTTTGAGAAATTTTTTGCCTTGCCATAAATTTTTGCTCAAGAAATGTTGCATATTGTTTGAGATAAGAAATGTTGCATATTGTTTGAGATTATTATAAGGATGTTTGAGATTATTATAAGGAGGTCGGATTTGGTCTTTTCAATTTTAGCCATTGCTCAAGAAATGTTGCATATTGGTTGAGATTATTATAAGGAGGTTGGATTTGGTTTTTCAATTTTAGGCCAGTCTCTTTTAACGTTTTAGGCCTGCATGTAAATGAATATAACAAAAAATATTAAATAGATAATAAATATAATTGTAATATATTATGCAACAATAATGCAATCTGCATGTAAATGAATATAACAAAAAATATTAAGTAGATAATAAATATAATTGTAACACAAGATATATTATGCTAACAATAATGCTAAAGAGTTAACACCAATGGGACAACTCTATGTGGGGCTGTCCCACATAGCTTCAATGTGAGACAGTCCCACATGGAATTGTCTCATTGGCTGTTGGCTCCTTAGCATTACTCATATATTGAATTTAAGTTAGTAAATTGATTTTTTCTATCTAAATTAAAATTTTATTTTAGTATGTTTGTTTAATACTAATGTGATGTATTAAATTGTATTAATGACCATCTAATCAGTCATCGACTTATGAGTCATTCATAATTATTCATAAATGATATTGAGACGTGTCCTGCAATAAATATAGACGTGGAATTAATGTGATGACTCGACTTATGAGTCATTCATAATATGTTTGTTTAATACTAATGTGATGTATTAAATTGTATTAATGACCATCTAACCAATCATTGGATGACTCGACTTATGAGTCATTCATAGTTATTCATAAATGATATATTGAGACGTGTCCTCTGCAATAAATATAGACGTGGAATTAACCGAAAGAAAATTAAAACATCTTATTTTCACTAAATTAGAGGGAATAAANCTAAAATATATTTTTGGTCTCCAACATTTTGCAGGCTTTGCTTCTTGTCACCGATTGATTTTCCCTTTCCCTTTCCCTTTTTTTCAATCCATTTCCGTTTAAATTCACACCTATCCGTAATCCCACAATCAGTTACGATTGAATCCCAAATTTGATTACAAGTAGCTAAGCTTTTATTTTATTTTGGAAAGAAGAAGATGCAGAGGAGTAGACGCAGGTGCGAGGGCACTGCCATGGGCTCGATCGTGCTCGATCTCCGGCCCGGCTTCGGCATCGGACCTTTCTCGCTCGGTAAAAGCCTTGTTTAGCGCGTTATCATTTACCCATGTCTGGATTCTAGTATGATTAGAATCTGTAGTTTTGATTTGAATTTGGGGCAAAGAAAACAATTGATCTCGAATATGTCGATTCGAGTTCTTCATCATTCTGAATCCTTTTCTTTTTCCTTTTTTTTCTCCCTTTTATTTCGTTATTTCCTTATTTTTTATTCTTTATTTTTGTCCGTGTGTGTGTGCGTGCGTGGCCATCTCCTAATAATAAAGACTGAACATCCTAGTAGAACTTCTTAACTTATTTTTGTAATTCATATATAGTTTATTATATTATTTAAATATAGATGCAGAGGATAATGTAGAGTATGGGTAAATTTTGCCTGTTGAATTTCAGGGATGCCTATATGTGAAGCTTTTGCACAAATAGAGCAGCAGCCCAATGTTTATGATGTTGTTCATGTGAAATACTATGATGAGGTTCGACTCAGTTTTCTTTTAGTTTAGACTCCATGCCTGCAACTACCTTCTTTGTTTGGTACTTCGCTTACTCCTTTGCTTGCTTAATTTTGTGTATGTTAGAATACTTTTAAGATAAGTTTGCTGAAATCTTGAGTAAGTGCCACTTGCTGAATTTGTCGTTTAGATGTAACATTCTTGTCCTTGACCCGTCATTACCTTCGATGTCGTTATCTGGTCGTTCCATTGGCTTCCTTTGTTTTGTATCCTTTGTGTTGTTCCTTTGTTCTTAGTGTGGCAGTTGTTTCGAAAGCCTTTCTAGTTTTCAGGATGCTCTGTGCTGTTGATTGTTTTATCTTTTTCTTGTTTCTATTTTTTAACAATTTCTTTCATTTTTTTTTCTGTTCGGAATTGTCAATCTTTGTTAAAGGTCTAAGTCATTGGCTTAGGAAGTTCTCTTTATGTCCTTCCTATAATTTCATTTTTCTCGATAAAATAGACGTTCTTGCATGTAAGTTTCTCACAAAATCATGAGAAAGAAATACATATTCTTAGTCTTGTTCCTAATGTTTAACAGGAGCCTCTGAAGCTTGACATAGTTATCAGCTTTCCTGATCATGGTTTTCATCTGAGATTCGATCCTTGGTCACAGGTATCTTCGCTTAAAAAATGAACCTCAGATTGTTAAGGATCATTTTTTTTAATCAAGATCGAATACTATTTATATAAAGGATTTAATTTATGCTCCGGGACACATATTAGCGAGGCAATGAATATTGATGTCCAATACTTTATATGAATTGATTGAAAATATTAACTTCAAATTTACTCTATCTCAGAGGCTGCGCCTTATTGAAATTTTTGACGTCAAACGGCTGCAAATGCGATACGCCACTGCTTTGATTGGGTAGGATAAACTGCATCTACAGCTGACTTTTTCCTCTTGCATGTCATAGAGTTGTCTTATTTCATATGCATTTTACTTTCAGGGGGCCATCCACTCTAGCAACATTTGTAGCTGTGTATGCTCTTTTTGGGCCCACATATCCTGGAATTTACGACAAGGACAGAGGCATTTACAATCTCTTTTACCCAGTATGTTTGCTGATATCTTATAATTTGGAATAAATATCCTTTGCAATATCTTATTTTTTTTTTTATCCTTTTTACAGTTTTGGACCACTTTATTTTTCGCAGGGTTTGTCCTTTGCCTTCCCAATTCCTTCACAATATGCAGACTGCTGTCATGACCGAGAAGGTATTCATTTATAATCATCCTTTTGCATTTGGACAAACTCAATTTGTTTATGGGTCTAATTCTCATCACAGTGTTGTCATCTTTGAAAGCTGAACTGCCCTTGGAGTTTCCTGATGGCACAACTCCAGTAACTTGCCGTGTCTCAGTATATGACTCGTCTGCAGACAATAAAGTTGGTGTAGGGTCGTTGATGGCCAAGGCTTGTGTACCTCCATTGCCAGCTGGCAGCCTTTACATGGAAGAAGTACAAGTGAAGGTCAGTGATTTGTTCTGGTTGTCTCCGATCTTGGCACGTGATAGCGGTAGTTCTGTTGTTTGACATAAATTGGATTATTAAATAACCTTCTTCTGAGCTGTCATCTAATTACAATATCTCAAATTATTTTCAAATCACAATTATCCAGGAAAGCATTACAGAGAGCGTAAGAACATGTTTGTTTATGGAATTTTTCAAAAAAATTTCAACATTTTAGCTCAACCACTTTTTTTAACTCAACCCCACTATCATCAAAATTATCAATATAATTAAATAATATCAATCAATCATTCATACACACCACATCAACCTTAATTCACTATTCATCCACTTACATTATTTTAACTAACCATTACTTCAAATCTCTCTCTTTTACTTTTACATCAAATCAATTTTAATTATTTTATTTTAAATATTATTTTAATATATCCACTAACAACTAATCATACCACTTTTTTCAAAATTAACCAAACCAAATCAAAAAATCCAAACAAAACCAAAAAATTTTATAAACAAACAAGCTCTAAGATTCCTTGAGGTCTTTATTATTAAACAAATATTATCTGCTCTCAAGTGTGGTTAGTAAAAGAGAAATAAGTGTCGGTGGATTTCTTGTTTTTTGAAACATACTGTTCCGATTTCTTGTATTTTTTAAACATGCTGTTTTTTTCTAATTATTATTATTAGTCATGCTACACCATCAAGCGTAATTTTCAGATGTTCCTTCTGATGGGTATCTGTAATGTTCCTTCTGATGGGTATTAGAATGTTGACACATATAGAGTTTCCAGCCTCTCTTGTATCTTCTTTCATATTATACAAGCTAGATGTCTAGTGGTAACAATATCTTTTTTGTGTTATTAGTTGGGGGAGGAATTATGGTTTACAGTTGGAGGCCAGCATATCCCATTTGGTGCGTCACCACAGGTATGAACTTTAATGTATTAATAATTACACACACACATATTTATTACGGTATGTGGCTTCTTATTTACCTCAATTGAATATCTTGTCTTCTGAATGTATCTTGGGGCTTTTATCCGACTTCAGCAAGATGTACTATAAATTTTTCGTGTAGAGGCATTTTACTACTTGACTCAATCTCTCTTGGCCCCTCCAAGAAGGGGCTGTTTGTGCATTTCTTTGCATCAAGTACTTCAGTTTTACCATCTAGCATCACTTGATATGAAAAACGTCCTTTTGATTGTCTTATTCAGGATCATAAATGTCAACTTTTTTTCTTTTTACTTCATCCTAAATATGCAGGATGTATGGACTGAGTTAGGTCGACCCTGTGGAATTCATCAGAAACAGGTATCACCTAGTAAAGTTTTTCCTCATGGAACATCAATATTCCTGGGGTTAATTACCAAAGAAAGCATGCCTTTTGAGGTTTTATCTGATTTCACACACTGACACATCCATAATGCTACCTGTTATGCACTTCTTTTAATAGATTGCACCTTCATTATGAGGGAGACTTGTTGAATTATAAAATTACAACGCGGTTTTTTACACCCTGATGGATATATGTGATTTAATAAGATATTTGACTGTGTTCCGGTAATTAGGACAAACTTCAACGTTTTGCTTTATCCTGACATGTATATATCTTCTATATTTCCTTGTTTTTTGGGTAATGAAAAATAAATTTTTGAGGGTTGCTCAGGTGGACCAAATGGTAATCCATTCTGCATCTGATCCTCGACCACGGACAACTCTCTGTGGAGACTATTTCTACAATTACTTTACCCGTGGATTTGACATTTTATTTGATGGGCAGGTATTTTCTTTTGGTTATAAAATTTAATTGCTGGCCATGTGACTGTAATACTATACAATTTTGATATAATGTTATTATTTCAGACCCACAAAATAAAAAAGTTTGTTCTGCATACCAACTATCCCGGCCACGCAGATTTCAACTCGTATATGAAGTGCAACTTTGTGATTCACGGTTCTGATTGTAAGCTATAAACCTTGTATATGTCTGCTCTAGTGGAGAACAACTTATACATACAAATCATTTAATTTTATATTACTATCTTTCAGTTGGTGGATCATTGCATGAGGATGCAAATACCTCTAAATGCACCATAACCCCTAGCACAAAGTGGGAACAAGTTAAGGTGAATCTAGCACACTTACTATTAATTTGATCGAACACAGATTTCATTTTAGTTTACTTTTTTAGATGTGGGCATGTTTATCTAGAGCATCTGCGTGCACATACTTACAGTTGTTTAACTTTGTCCAGATAATATGAGAGAAAACTGTAGTGATCTTTTTCTTGTATGTGCACGTATAAATTCTGCAGGAAATTCTTGGGGACTGTGGTCGTGCTGCAATTCAAACTCAGGGTTTGACCAGCAATCCTTTTGGGTCTACTTTTGTGTATGGCTACCCAAATATCGCCTTTGAGGTGAATCATATGCTTCAATCTCGAGGTCTTTATGCTCTTTTGCTCAGCAGTGTTATTCTGTTTTGCTCGTTTGAACTGTAATTATGGTTTTTGCAGGTCATGAAGAACGGTTACATTGCAACTGTAACTCTTTTCCAGTCCTAGTGCTCGGTAAGTACGCTATAGTATTTCACGGTATTCCATAAATTAGTGGCTGTTTCTATTGTGATCACTTTTTCATTTCATCTGAAACATTTTTAATATTACTCAATTTTCCTTCAACATCCACATTCCCAGAGCATTTTCACTTTGTCCCCAGAACCATGTGGTCTTTTCTCTTGGAAACTTTTGAAATTGTGAATACATGTAGCGAATCATGTAGTTTAAGGGTGAAGTGAAACAAAAGAAAGAAGAAAAGTGTGAACCAGTGTATGCAATAAATTATATACAATAAGTTCTGTACAATAGTATTTTCCAAGAATCAAATTTTGAGGCAATGTGCTAAACAAATTTTTGTTGTAGGTCCTTGATTAAAACTTGGTGTGATCTTGATTTTTTTTTTTTTTTTTCCCNTTAGCCCTTGGTATTCTTATTTTTCAGGAGTCCGGTCAATTTGTACAGTCAAATGGTGGGGAACAAATAAGTACGGCTGCCTTATGATGCTAGTGTTCGAACATGTACAGTGGCAATAACTTGTAGACTTGTAAATATTCTCTCAAATGCTCGTTGAAAAAGAAACTGTTTGGGTTGTGTATATTATTTCCTTGCGTGCCATTAGATTATTGCCAATATCAGGAATTCCATTAGTAACAGAATTAATTTTCATCTTGAATCCTTCTGTAAGGAGACATAAAAATGACCAATTCAAATAACTGACAGACATACAATCACATGCATAATACATAATCATCTCAACTCATACCTTATCGATTCCTTTTTTCTAGGAGAAATTAGACGCATGAAAATAGATTCAATGGAACATGTAAATTAAATTTGAAGCGCAGAATTGAGAAAAGAATGACAGACACATCACTGGTTAGATGCTGTTAGCCCCAATTCTTCAATAATTATTATAACACCACAAAGTTCACAAACTCGAGAGCCATTCATGTCCATCAATGAAGCTTAGTGATATGAATGGCTCAGCCTCCTGTTTGGTTAGCTCTCTCGCCCACGACACTCTCCCTCCAAAATCTGCTCCGGGACCCGAACACTTGAATTGCCCGTAGAATACCGTCCTAGAATAACCCCNAAAAAAAAAAAAAAAATTATTTTCGAAACACTTTTTTATTATGTTTGTTAACTAACATTCATATGACAAACTAGAACTCACATTTGTCTCTGCTTATCACCCCAGTCATACCATCCTCTCGGCGTGATAATCTTATCCATGTACGTATAAGCAAACACCACCCTAGAAAACGGGCCCCAGGCCCGGCCCAAATAGAGCGCGCCCGACCCAGTAACCTTACAGTTAACGAACGAGAAGCCCGTTTCCTCAAGCATGCTCTCCCTTTTCTGGGCCGTCAAGGCCCCATACGTATTAGTCTTGGCGTGCAAATGACAGTTTTCGTACAACGAAAGCCCATTTCCGAATATGAAGTCCACCGAGCCTTGAATATGGCAGTTCTTGAAATAATGCCTCCCTTTGTGGTCGTATAGCGTGTCCTGTGCACCCACGAACTTGCAGTTCACGAAGGCCGCCATGTCAGCAGAGATCCGAAGGGCCACCGCCTGTTTTCCGGTGGCGCCAGCTGGCGGAGGAGGCGCTTTGTTCTGTTTCACCAACAAATATAGTAAGATAATAATATTAGAAAATCATAATTGTTGATTTGAACATGGGAAAACAAAACAACAACCTTAAAAGTGATGTTCTTGGCGATAAAATAAGGAGCATTGACTGCGAATGTGGCAGAGCCGTAAGTGCCAATGGGCTTTCCGTTGGGCCCGGCCCGATCTGCGGTGTGGTCCATTCTGATTATGGTCTTCGCTGCACCACTTCCTTCAAGCGTGACGTAAGCCATTGTTGCCGGAATTTCTATCTTCTCCCTATTCATGGTAAAAGCACCAAACTTGTTTTTTTTTTTAAAAAAAAGAAAACTTTTTTTTTTTTTCTTTTCTTTTTCTTATTTCATTTTTCGTCACCTGTAAGTTCCGGGACCAACCGAAATAAGGACGCGACAGGGGTTGAAGAGTGGGATTGAGTCAATGGCATGCTTAATAGATGTAAAGTCTCCCATTTTCGGGTTTTTGTGGACCTTAATGAATTTGCAGGGCTGGAGTTTGTTCTTGGCCTCCAAGAACTTGGAGTGGTTGCGAGAACCCATAATCCTTATCCACTTTAGGTAGCTTTCCTCTGTATTTTTCAGCCTGCTGCTCAAGTTCATGGAATTTGCACTAGTGCTCAAGAACAAAACTAGTGTAGCCACAAATGCCTTCAAACCCATCATTCTTTTTTTTCTTTTCTTTTAAAAAAAGTTGTGCTGAAAATGAGGCCGGATGACAAAGGCTGAAAACAGAGTGGTTTCTTAATAAGTAGGGAGAAATCCAAGAGAGAGATAAAGAGGAGAGAGAGAGAAAGGGCCTCTGGCAGTATGTATGTGTTATCTCTGCACTTGAAATTTCAATTCATCAGCCATTGGGCTGTCAACCCGTGCTTATGCATTGTCTGTTTTTGCCACTCGCACGCACACATATACACACACGAGTTTTGTTATCTATAGATAATAAGTAGATGTCCTGTTGGCAGATTTTACCCAATCTCTCATAAATTAGGCTCTTGTTACTATAGTTTGGATATTGACATTAACCATCCCATTTGGTATTGAATATAATACTGTTCAAGTTCGTATGTCTTGAGTTTCGACTTTATTCAAGCTTTGGAAATCGAATTTCAAGAAATTGATGATCTTATACATATTTTAATGCATTAGTCGTATTTTCTCGAGCTGAGTCGAGTTCAATTCGAATTATGTACATATTTGATGGGGAAACATATTTTATATTTACATCTTATTTAATAAGATAATGAACCAAGTGGAAAAAAAAAAAGTTGATATGAAGTTTGAGTTGAATGTGAAATAGTTTGGTTGCAATTTTGGCTATGGCTTGTGCAGTCATATGATCACATGGTGATTAGCACCGCATGAGAATTGACAAAATTAGGTATGACAGTTGGCAATGTGTTTGGGGAAAAAAAGAAGAGAAGAAAAGAAGAAGATAACTATGATTTTGTACTGCTTTGTAATTTATGTAACAAAAGCATGTTGATTGATATTCGTTTGTTGTCTCAGATACTCTATTAAGTTCGACATATTGACAGGATAAACATGAAAATTTTGTGTCCAAATGCACCACTTTCCTTCCTATTGGTATTT